TTTTTTTTTTGTTCTCAGATTGTTACACTTTAAATTTGACTGGCTGCCAATAGAACAGTATTAACCTTGAGTTTTTATCAACAAAGTACAGAAAAGAGCAAGTTAACCTTATAATCACAATTCAAGAATTTGCAATGCACAAGAAATGTTTAAAGCACACCAGTTAAACAATTCAAATTGAAACAAAGATACATTCATCAAATAGTTAAAATTTATAACTTGATTTCTCTTGTAAAATCTCTTTCACAGATAGTCATATAAGAGGTTAGTATATTCCCTCCCTGAGGCCCCTTCCAAAGACAAACTAGGGAGTAACCCAGGGGATCTCACCATTTAGACAGAGGATTTTATCCATTCATTTTCTTTCTGTCCCATTACCGGTGAGCTGGCCTCCGCGTCCTAGAAAGGGAACCCAGGAAATCCTGGGGGCGCGCCTTTTCCCTTCCAAGGAGGCAGACAGTCACTTGCTCCAGTGGGAGTCGGATTGACACAGGGAGCGAAGCTTTCCATGAGAGAATTTAACCCCATAATCATCCTCTTGCTCAGGGGAAAAAACCAATTTTAAAGTTAATGAGAAAACAGTTCAATAGGGTATTTTTGGAGCTTGACCCTCCCATCTTATTCCTAGGAATGAATGTAAGGTTAACACTCAACAGACAGGACACAGACAAGACACACAGGCGCCACAAAAGAAAAAGAACTTAGATTCTACTCAGAAATCCTCGTCAGGGAATCATTAAAACAATCTTTGATTTTTTTCCAACATTTTTAATTTAATTAGATCCTTTTTCTTAACCCGAACTCCCCGCGCCCTGAGGGCGGACTTTAAGTCCTGAACAAAAACTACATACTAACCTGTTGTCCCATCGTTCATGTTGCTCACTTACCTCGAAGGTCGCTTTCTCAGACGGGTGGGTCTGAGCGGACTGCTTATGAGTCGATCTTCCGAGCAGCATCCACCAGGTGAAGACCCCGTGTCTGGAGCCCCACGTTCGGGCGCCACTTGCCCCGGCCCGCGGGGTCAGTAATTGGCAGAGCTCGAGAAGGGGAAGTACCTGGAAATGAGACAAGAGGGGCGCAGAGAGAAGGAGACCAAGCAAAGAGTTGTCAAGGTCTCATTTATTTGCAGATACAAGCAGTTTATAAAGGCAAAAACCGCAAAATTGTAAGAGGAAATAGTTAACCATAAACTTTGGGAGGAGAATGTAACAATAGTGTAACACAATGTTACTATGTAACGGATCAGGTCACTTGTCTGCGCAAACCCGTTGTCATGGGTAACGACGTAACTGTGGTGGTGGGGTGATCAGCGGGTCAACATGGAGGCTGTTTGGTTTTTACTTAGGACAGGCTGGCAGCTTAGTCTACCACAAATGGACACGTGGTGCATTCATGAAAACGTCTCATAACATTTAGCTCCAGAAAGAAGGAAAGAAATGATATGACTGAAAACAAAGTTTGGGTAAAATAGATGAGACATGCACACGAGCACTTCATCTCTATTTCCTCTTTCTCTTTTATAAGGAAACTAATTTCGATCTTGAAGTTTCTCCGTCAGGTCAAGGGACATATGGAGTGTTTTGTACCCAGAATGCTGCCCACCATAGGGTAGAGTTTCTGTACTAGGGATTGGTTAATATTCATGAATGTACGGGGTGAGTAACCCTCATCTGAAGTGCTCAAGGCTGAATGCTTCAGATTATTCTTGGATTTTGTAATATTTGAGGGGGGATCGTGAGTCTAGGATTCCAATCCAAACGTGAGTTCATTTATATTTCGTTGTAGGTACATCTCATATACACAGCTGGAAGGTAAGTTTATACAGTATTTTTAATAATTTTATGCATAAAGTAAAGTTTATGCATTGCAGCTGAAGGGTCTCTTTCTCTTTAGGACACGGAATGAACAGTGTTGTAATACCTGTGTTTTCACTGTGGCCCTCATTGGAGGTCAGGGGTGGAATTTCCCACTTATTGACATTATGTCAGTGCGCAGATGTTTGGAGCATGCTTGATTTTGAAGTTTCAGATAGGAGATGTTCAAACATTCTTACGGCCACGGTTGTTGTGTGGCAATCCGGCATTGTTCATTGCTTCCCATGCAACTTGGTTATTCGGTTCTTTAAGTGTCTTCTTTAAAATCAAGATTGTGTTCTTGGGCAATTTGTTATATAAATCAGAATGTACCGAGTTGGTCAAGATATTGTAATTTTCATAATTTTGGTCTTGTAACTTCCTCAGCTTTGCTCCTAGATTGAATTCTGATCTCAGCCTATTTTCACACAGGAGCTGCTGCATGACTTAGATCACTCTTGTTGTCTTTTTACAGTCATGCTACAGTCACACAAAGTACTGTACAAACCAGTCAGGCGATTCATACAGCAATTTGACACATTAGTGTGTTTATTTTATTGTAAATTTTTAAATATAACTATTTTTCGTAAGACATAATGTGGAGCTACTACAGGACCTAGAAATCCCCTCTGAGGTATATGAGTAGGCCCAAGAGAAGTAAAAATATACGTACACAGAAATGTGTACATGAATGTTTATAGCAACATTAATCATGACAGCCTCAAAGTGGAAATAACCCAAATATTCAACCACTGACCAACGGACAAGCAAAATATGTATAGCCACACAATGGAATTTTACTTAGTGATGAAAAGAAAAAATAGCACTTATACAGGCTGAAAAGTTGATACGACTCAAAAATATTTTGCCAAGTAAAGGAAGGTTCAACTCAAGAGACCACACATTGTATGATCCCATTTACCTGAAATCGACGGCAAGGGAGAGGTTGGTGTGGTCTGCAGTGAGGGGTTAGGGTTAGGGAAGAGACGGAGAGTGCCCAATACTGAGATTTCTTTGTGGGCCACCACTCTACAATTTGTGTCTGATGATCTGATATCTGGAGTTCCTGTGGATATGTGTCTGTTAAGTGCTGTTTTGCCAAAGGAATCTTTCCCTTCGTCTCTCTGTGTTTGGGATTTTGCATTTGAAATTTTATTGTATGAAGTCATTTGAAGTCTAGGTGTCTTTTCTTTTTCTTCAAAGAATTCTTATTCTTTTTATTTTACAAGCCCTTGGGAGAGCCGGCAATCAGTAATCATCTTAACTCCATGCTAGGCTAGCAGTTTTCTGGCTACTAAACAATTTGCCTTGAAGCTGGGTAGCAGACAGTGCTTATAATGACTTCTGGACTTCCGCTTTACCCGAATTCCCAATGTGTGAGCAGGGCTGTGCCTGGTCGAGTTGCAGCCTGAAGCCAAAAAAAGTCAGTGATACTGATCTCATACCTTTAACAGTGTGCTTTTTATTTATTTATTTTGCTCATCATGGTTTTTTCTTTCTTTCTCCATTCCTCTTTCTCTTCCTTTTTATTTCATTTTTATTTTTTTCAGTTCAAGGAAATAAATCCCAGGGCCTCCCACATGCTAGGCAAGATTTCTACTGCTGAACTACACTCCCAGTATGGATTATTTTCACTTTCAAGAGTGGTGCATAAAAGTATTGTTTATCTAAATTTCTGAATACTTTGGTCCCCCTAAGCTTTTGTTTGTTTGTTTGTTTTTTGAGACAGGGTCTTACTATGTAGTTGAGACTGACCTGGAACTAACTCACTATGTAGACCAGGCTGGTCTCTAACTTAGAGCGATCCTCCAGCCTCAGCCTCCCAAGTGCTGGGATTACAGGTGTGCACCCGGCCTGGTCCCTTTAAGTTTTGTGGGCAAGGTTAACACTTCACTGAACTCACTATACTTTCAGCCTGGGCATTGCCTTGAGATTTCTACTTCCTGAGGAGTCTGAGGAGGTGTAGTTGTGTTCTCCCCAGGTTCCTACAAAATCCCACAAGGGCAGCACACCATCAATTTCCTCCTTTATGAAGCCACTTATAATTAACTCTCTAAACATATATCTTCACTTTCTCCTGAAACTGCCCGAAAATGACAGTAGCAGGGTGAAAAGGTGAGAACCTATGAAGACTGTGAAGAGACAAAAGTAGAAAAGAGCAAGTAAGAAACATCTGTCCATTTTGGGACAGCAGCTGATGGAGGAGTGGATCTGATCTGCAGAGCACAGTCCAGGAAGCTGATCCGGAACTGAGCCAGTCAGCCAATGGAATCGCACAGAATGTGCTGCTCTCATCACCAGTCACCAGGGAGAGGGAGGAAGTTGTATTGACTCCTGTGGTCCACTCTGTGGATTTCCCATGATACCTCAGAGACGCTGAACTCACTGGTGCTTTGTCACAAACTGGTCAGCGGGGACCCAGATCTAATGCAACCAGACAACGCTCTAATACACCACATCGAGGGTCCGGTTATCGAGATAAGAGTGACCATGCTAAGGCCATAAATCAGAGACTTGGGACAGTTAATTTAAAGAAAACAAACCCAGGGCCCACACAGACTAAAACTTATGGAAATCGTACGAGTGGAGCAACACATGAAATACTGTAGGCAGCTGGAAACAAACTATTGTTCCCACTCCTTGGCTCAACACCTATTTGTCTTTTTGTGTTTTGGGGAGTTCATATCCCTTTCTTAGGGATACTGTTAGCCCCATTCCATGAAAGTAACCAGAAAAAGGCTATGTTTGGTTGAGAATCTGAATAGCAAAAGGTTTCTTTGAGTTGCAGAAGGCTGTGGGCTGTTATTGCATTAGGACTGTACCATTCCAAGGATAAACTAAAAATTAGAAATGTCAGCCAGCTGCTCTCCTGCAACTGGAGTTTCTGGCAAAAGTCCCTGGCCACTGCTTAATAGGGACCTGTGGGCTTCTGAGCTACAAGAGTACCGAGCGGTGCTCTTCTTCTGAAAGACACTTAATGTTCTCACCATTAAGCATTTATGGAACAGCCCCAGAAACCAAAGGATGTAAGGCTATGTTACGACCCGAAATAGCCCATTGTATCATGGTGGTGTCACGGAAGCATTTCAACGAGGAGGACAATGGCCAGAGCAGCTCAGTGCTAAGATGGAAACGGTGCACACAGGAGCTGCTACTGGGAGTTTCACAGGAGGAATTCACTGTATTTATGACCAGGCCTGACCATGGAGCTTCCTTAGGAACACTTGCCTGCTATCACTGTCGAGGGCCCCCTCCCTTCTACCAATTGCCCAAGTGCCTGGCAACCAGCTTGGCTCCCAAATCAAGAACAGCATGGAGAACAGCGGCTCTAATCTAGAATGTGTGTGGCAGAATCATCATGGAACCCAAGAGTAAGTCAGCTCAGTGGCCTGGGTAACCAGCAGAGTAGAACTGAATACAAATTGAAACTCACATGGCATATACATGGTGTATTATGAGTCTCAGAGCTTTGACAGTGACTTTGGTCTAGCAAATGCCCACTGGAAACTTGGACAAGGGTAGGGACTCCTTTTGTCCCTGTGAAATCTCTATGGGAATTGTGAGGACAAATCCAAGTAGGGCGTGGTGATGCTTATCAAATAAACCCTCTGGCAGGGTCTGAGGTGGTCGGGGTCAACAAGTTGGTGCCCTAGTTTAACCTTAATACTTCAAGTGAGCAGATACAGGAAATTCCAGCCGTGTAGTGGCGGGCCAAATGATGACATGTCGTTGGTCCCTTGTAATGCTCCAACTCAATAAAAATTGCCTATCTTCCAGGAGAAGCCCAGCATCCGTAGTTCTCTGTAAGAGGTATCCCCAGGGGAAAACATTCATTGTACAGCTAGCTAAGGAGCTACGGTGTCTCTTCACTTACTGCTTGGGGAAACTTGAATACTCGCAAGCCACATCCTAGGTTCAGTCCCAATGCTCAATGGCTAAAGCCAATGCTGCCAACCCTATCCCGGGACTGCAGCAGCAATCGCATACGTGATATATGGCAATATACAGTGTTAGTTCAGCTCTCCTGGCTGCATTTCATCAGATGAAGATATTTACCATGCTGCCTTCAGTAATGAGCAAAGAAATCTCGGCTTCAGTGGACTTACCATATTTCTCTTCACCTTCAAAATAATGGCTTAATGGAAAATGAGAAGACACAATTAAATCTCCTGCTTTTAAAATGGGGATTAACAAAGGACCAAAGGGTTGGGTTATGAACTTACAGCATGTGTCATGCAGTCTACCATAAGGGAGATTACAGATGGGTCATTAGATAATTAGGCAAAATGAACCATGTAGAAGCTAATAAAACTTACGGTAATTCAAATATTGATAAGCAAGTGTGTTGGGAGATTGTACTACCCCCGACCCCAGATATTATCCCTCCAGTGCAGAAATGGCCTGAACAATGCTTTGACTGGAGCAGGGACAGCTTGATTGTAGTTCTTAATCACTCCACGGATTCACATAACAAAGACGGCTGCAGACAAGACAGGTCAGCGATGGTCAAGTTAGTCCAAAAATATGAGAACGTTCATGCTGGACTTCGTGAGTAGTCCAGCAACCTGTTTAAATACAAACTGGTTGTTAAAAATGTGTAGAGTCTGTACATTTTTGGCTATTTGTGTGCCATTTTAAGAGAAATGGTCACTCTCAAACTGTGAGTGATCATCTTCATATACAAGGGACTTACAGACGGAGGGTGCAGACTATGAAGAATTTTTGGGACCATGACTCACACACCGGTGAGGGTGCAAGTGTTATAAGGAGGGTGATAACTGACCTAACAAGGTTCTGAAAGAGAAAGATTAGAATCAAAGGACTTGCTCAAAAGGTTCACCCTTTTTTTCTGCAACAGAGGGGGGGGCATCCCTTTTAGAAGGCTGAGAAGTGTATGCTAATGATAGGATGAGGGCTGACTTTCCTCTCTAAAAGCTCATTAGCTGGGAAGGCTGGGTGGGGGCGGATGGAATGTGATGGCCCAGTGCCCATATGTGTGCAACTCTCTGGGCCTGACGTCCAAGGGTCTCTTATTTTCTCAATGAAAAAGAACACGGCTAAGAAAGTGCGGTGAGGTCTGGGGCAGTCACCAAGGCGAATACAGAGGGTGTAACAGAACAGCAGGGTCTCAGTGAGGCAATGGAACTTGCACCCTGCATGAGGACCAACCCACATGGCTGCGTGGATTCGTGAGGCAGGAGTCAGCCTAGTGCAGGGCAAACAGGTGTCCCTGTGGCGGATGAAAAAGCACACACTGAAGGAGTTGGCAAGGGAATGGTTGAAACCTGTGGTTCACTTCAAAATGCACATTCTATGCAGATTGCTTATGAATAAATTCAATCAGCAACTCCAAAACAGGGGCTCTTTTTTTCATTTTTCATTCAGTTGGTCCTCTTTGCTCACAAGATATGCAGACATTTCTGAATGACTGAAATAAATAAGAAACTAAAATCTGACCCTGGTATACATTTCTGAATACAAGTACTGGGTTTAAATCTGGGATGCATTAATCAGTTATGTTAGAGAGTTAGGAATCTGTCCCAAGAGCTACATTCCTATAATTTACCTAATTGAAATGATTACAGTGACATCAAACTCTGATGAAATGCAATCTGGAACACAAATTTTATTAGAATAAAAATACACAACAGTATCCAACATTAAAATTATTTCACATCACACATTTCCTCTGTTCATTTTTTTCAAATGCTTTTAAAGTATATGCTTCAAAGAATTTGCACATTTCAGGTCCAGCAGTCAATAAAGTTTCTGAGGAGCATCCAGGATCCTGGGGCCCAGACTCTGCCTGGTTTCCTGGGAGTTCTGAGGACAAGGACAACCTCGTCCCCCTGAATTCAGCAGTGATGCCATCAGACTCAGCCTTCTCTTTGTTGTTTCTGATTCATGTGCAGTGGACCCCAAAATTCATGGGGATTTCATTCCTAGGGCACCTGGAAATTGTGCCAAGTGGAGAATCACAGGACTCTTGGCTTTGCAGATTCACCAGGATGAGCACTGAATCCCCACCCACACCTCCAAGACTGGCAATTCAGAGCTTGCTGGGGGACAAGGACTTGGCCATGGGAGCAGCGAGAGATTTGCCAGGGGAGCTCTTCCCCCCAGTGTTCACGGAGGCCTTCACCAGGGGACTCCGAGCTCCTGAATGCAACGGTGCCACTCTGGCCCTTTTCCTACCTGCCCCGAGGGGCACTGATGAGCACGAGGAAACCACATACATCGGACGAGGAGGGGGATGTTATGGAGGTGGAGAAAGAGATTTTACAAGCTGTGCTGGATGGACTTGATGTGTTGCTGGACCAGAATGCTCGCCCCAGGAGGTTAAAACTGCAAGTGCTAGATATGCGGGACTTGCACAACAACTTCTGGAGAGTCTGGGCTGGAAGCAGGTAGAAGCCTGCTCCTCCCCGGAAGCCATGGAGGGGAGAAACAGAAGAGTGGGGCGAGGGCAGCACAAAGCAGTCCTTCAAGGTGACTGCAGACCTAGAGCTCAGTCAGGAACCTCTGTACCTATTCCAATCCCACCTCAAGTGGGCCCAGGACAGGAGAGGCCTGGTGCAGTTGGATTGTCCAAAACTGTGCACCAAAGCGGCAGAGTTTTGAAGTATCATAGAAATCACAGAAATCGTGAATCTGGGTCACTGCTGGACACTCTCCACCCTACCTCGTTTCATCCCTTATCTGGGAGAGATGCAAAATCTTCACAAATGAATTCTCTATGATATCTCTGTTCCTGAATTCATTTCACCAGAAAACACAGAACAGTTAGCACCCAATTATCTCCCACTTTTGGCAGCTTCAACACCTGCAGAGTTTTATGGAATCTGTCGCTTTCCTCGAATGCCACCTGGGCCAGGTGCTCAGGTGCCTGACATCACCCGCGGACCCTTTCATTAATTTACCGCCAGCTTTCACACTCTTGACTGGAGCCGGCTGCCATGTTGGCCCAACACGGGACACCTGAGACACTTGGATCTCAGCGGTACCAGGCTGACTTGTTAAACTCCAATCCCTTCCGATCTCTCCTGGGTAACACTGCAGCCACTCTGAGCACCCCACACTTGCAGGCCTGTGGGTCACAGATGCCCAGCTCCATGCCTTTCTCCCTGCTCTGAGTCAGTACTCCCAGCTCACTGCATTGTTACATGTGGAGCCCGTGTCTGCAGCCACCCCGGAGAACGTGCTGTGCCACACGGCCAGGCTGAGCAGTTTATGCCTAGAAATGCACTCTGTTCCTCATGAGGTTTGTTTCCAGGCATGTTGTCCACCAGCTGAGGCAGGACCAGATTCATGAAGGGCTGAGAAGGACCGTGCTCACTGGGATATATTTTAATGGGGAAGCCTGTTGCCTGTACTCCACTCCATGCTGCGTGTGTGTAACCCTATTTAGTTCGACCCACATATTCTACGCTTCCTTCTGGCCAGCCAGGAACACAGGACTTTTGTTTCAGCGTAAATGAGAAAAAGACAGGTCAGACAGCAAACTTGGAGAATCACTGGATCAAGAATTAAAGTGATCTTTGTGGATCCGGGTCCTAGAAAGCATCAGAAAGGGGAATCTGAGTTTCTAGCTAAAAATTCAGGCTTGAAATGAATGTGTGGATGCATGTAAAGAAATGACCTGAAATAAAGAGAGATGCACCTAAAAGAAAAAAAAGAATGTGCACATCTGTAAACAAATCTGAGATTACCAAAGATGCCATCTATTACATACTGAACATCAAGATTTAGGAATGGGAACTGACAGTTATACCCTATCATACTAAACATTTCTGTAAATTCCTGGAAAGACAGGAACAGTTTAAAATAGTTCTCTTGAAATGAGGTAAGTTGTATGACATAGTTTTTAGTAGCACATTTCACCAGCGTTAAGTAGAAAATATTAAAAATATTCATGAAAAATTCATGTCAATGTTTGCATAATCTAGCTTATTTTTTTAAAAACTCAACTTCTTTATTAGAAAAAAGAATTATCTGGTTCTACTTAGGATCTGTGTAAATTCTGTCTTTCATTTAGAAAAAAGAAGTGGTACAAACATTCACAAGCCTACTAAAAAGAAAAAAAAACAAAACAGAAAACGAAGATTAGACCTAAATATTTCAAGCTGCCTTATGGAAAGAAAAGTAAAAACAGAGGTAGATGGTTAAATATTAGTGGCCAGGTTACTCAGGTGACTAATTTTTGTCTTGGTACATATTCACCAAGGTTTTACACCAGAAGCCAGAGGAAGTTAACTTTAGAAGAAGAAAGTAACCCTCATCAGAAGTTATTTTCCTTATGTCAAAGAAAAGTAATAAAAGTAAACCAGAATTGAGACCCCTGTTAAGGATATGATTGTTTAAAGCACTACGAGTCATGCACTTGATAAAGCAGGAGAAGGAGCCTAGCCCTAAGCCTCCTGGGTAATCGGGGGCCACGCCCCAGCCCCCGGAGGCTGTCAGTCAAAGTAGGACTGAAGGGAGCCCCGGCGGCGGATGTCGCAGGTCCAGCAGTGGAAGCCTCCTCCCAGGGAATTGGCATGGCGGATGCTGACCTTAATGGTGCTGATACCTGCATTGGAAGAGAAGGCGGAGGTCAGGCAGGTGGACCAGGTGAAGATGCTCCTGCAGAAGTGCACCTAGAGATAAGGAGGGGTCCTGCTCCTAGTCCTCTGGGCCATCCAACCCAGAGCAGTCTTTTCTTTTGCCATTTTCTTCCCACCAACTGTATTTTATCTCATCTATTCCAGCGCTACTGGAAAATCGCCTCCAAACAGTCAGCAGAGGCTCTGAGAAATCTCGTTCTCTGGACTATTTACAAGTCAACCAACGAGATGAGCAGAGATGGCTAACAAATACCCAAAAACGACAACTCATAAAATTCCAAGGGCTTTTAGAATTATGCTTCACCTTGTCCGACTGTTTCTAATTTTACCAGGGTGATCTTGCAGAAAAAGCATCATTTAGCCAACGTGAAAAATTGACTTTACATCGTCACATACCAGTAAGGAGAATGTATCTGATACAGGTTCGCTTTGCCAAGCCACAATGATGAAAAAACAGAAAAGGGCTCTTATGTTAGCATGTGGGCTGAGTGGCTATGTGGGTACCAAGCCTAATCAGGCCATTGGTTTAATCCGGTACCATCTGTGATGACCTCAAAGTGCACAGAGTGCTTCACCAGAAGAATTGTGTC